GAATGCGTTCAATATTTACATGAATTGAATCCTCCGGTCATTCATAGAGACCTCAAACCTGACAATATATTACTGGCGAAGACTGTAAGGAACGGCAGGTTTTTCAAAGTATGTGACTGGTTTGGCTACTGTTCACCAACACTCGTCAGATAAGGGAGACCAGAGATATTGTGCCCCAGAAGTGGGTCAGGGAGTGGTCTATAACCATAAGATAGATGTCTACAGTTTGGCTAAAATTGCAGAAAAAGATATTTTTGGGATTCATTTGGAGGACAAACCGTAAGATAATGTGATTTAATATTTAAATTATTTAATAATTAATAGTTTTTATTTATTCTGAAGTTTACAAAAGTATTCAAACAATGAAGTTATGAATAAATGTGTGATTGAATTAACAGATGTATTGCATTCAATGTCATACTATAACTGGGATTACCCGCACATACCCGGCCCTCACTGGACAGAAAGGCCCGAGTGCTCACAAGTCTTAGCCAAATATAATGAGTGGTCTATTGATAAGAATTGTCTCAAAACTGATCCAAGATTTGATTCCACACTAAAACTCATTCAACAAAATGATTACAACTTTTTTGCGGAATATTTTAATGCGAAATACGAAGGAATTGAACAGAAGTTAAAGAATATTCACTTAAATTCCTAAATGAGTTAAATTATAATTATTTGTTATTATTTTGAAATCAATTGATTAATAAATAGAATTTTCATATTTACCTCATTTGAATTATTTGTGCATTATACTTTTTAACCAAATTAGGATTTAATATAACAATAATATTACGTAAATGTAATTATATTCACTTTGTCAGTGTGCTTGATGACTACCTTTTACTATTCAAGTGAAATCTTTTTTTGTGTATAAGTTATTTCCGTTTACAATACAAACTCATGAACGTAAAGGTGATTACACTTCATAATTATTGAACATTATATTGCATTGTTGCATTAATCATAATCTAGGCAAGTTTTAAAACGCAAGTAATAATAAGTGTCAAAGTTTTATAAATAAATATTTTAATTAACAAGTAAGTATTATTTTAAAAATACAACTTAGGCATCACACAAAAATAGTGACAAAAATGCATCAATTTATTAGATAAGAGATTAGATTAGGTTTTGAATTAAACTCCAATATTCCTAAAGTTTGTATTCATAATGAAATTATTTCTAAAACCACTCATTACTCGTTCAACCCTTGAATGCCTCCACATGTCTACCATTCCCACGACATAATCAGTGCATGAAAATGAAAAAAGACACCAATTTTCGTATAATTTATCTCAATTTAAACCTAATATACATGTGTTTAGCGTTTGTTTGTGTTTTACAAATGCGCGTTCAATCAGCTGTTTAGGGATAAGCCGACACACCCTGAGGTCAGTCACCACCAGAAGCTATCGGCATACGTGTTGGGCATCATATCCACAATACACGCCCTCATCGCCGGTTACGTGGGCTGTTCGGCGGTGTGGTTCCGGTCCAAGTCGTGGACGCAGATCCAGGTGCTCACCAACACTCTGGTCATACCGTTCCTGGTGTTGGCCTACGCTTTCAAACGCTTCCGAGTGGACAGTATGCCC